ATCTTTGATCTCCAAAAGCTCCACTAGACTTCTTAGACCCCCGTTGTTCTCTGGTGACTCGGGTTCTGCGTGTGTCTGATCCGCAGGCGCCTGCGCAACCGCACGCGCCGCTCGTCGGAGAGTCGCCCGGGCGGCAGCGGCAGGCGCGAGGGAGGGAGAAGTGGCGAAGCAGGTGAGTTGCCTGGTTTTTGCTCACGAGGAAGGATGTGTTATTTTTCCTGATGGGTGATTGGATGAAACAATCCCTTCTGGCGAACAGATGGTTTCGAAATCCAAGTTTGGACGAAAAGACCTCCCACGGAGCTCTATTGGAAGAACGATGTGGGATCAGGGCTGCCACACATTGGCCTCCCCCCTCTTGGCCAGACTTGACTTGGCTGTGTGAGAACAAGACATTGTAAGAACGACTTCCAGAGGTTGTAAGAATATGTACTGTGAAGACCATTTTCCTCAAGAAACAGGTGGTGTTCCATTTCCATGTTAGTGAGTCGGAGTGCACAACCTTTTGGGTCATTTTGGGTCAGTTCAAAGAGAGCCTTTGGGAAGCGTAGTGTTCCAATGGCTGACCCACGGAGTGGTACTGTTTTGTCAAGCGTTGTTTCACCAGTTTGATGATTTTACTTGTTCAATCCTTTTCATTTCTCTCACAAAGATGCAACCTGGTACAAATACTGCAAGATGTTTTCCCCAGCCAACCAAATATTAATGTCAAGAAGCTGGTTCCTGCCCTCAAATGTTCACAAAAGGCTAGTATAACAGTATATCACTGTTTGATGTGTTCAGGGTCACGAGCGTTATTCTTGTTGGATGCACTCGTTTGAGTAGGAATACTCGTTTGATACCAATTGAAAATGGGAAGCCAAAACAAAGGTGAAGAAAGACATGCTCCTTCCTAGAGACTATATAACTGGTTGATCCCCATGTCAGTTCATCTTTGGGTTGTTGTGTTTTGATGTGTCTTTTGGAACCTCCTCGTTGGATTAGCTCTTGATACCTCCCTTGGGAGCTGGTGAACCTCAGGCGGTCACCTCAGGCTCCTGGCACCGAATCGGACCCGGGGTCCCACGGAACCCAGCGCGTTCGGGATCGGGAGGCAGCGAGTTCGTGATCGAGGGCCGTGGGAACGTGGTGGTTTTGGCCAAGGAGGAGGATGTCTTGGCGGAGGTGGCGGTTTCTGGGATTGATCGATCGCATCGGCTGCATTGGGATCTGCATGCGATTCATGATCAGCCCTTGGGACCGACGCAAAGCGACGCAAAGCGAGGATCTTCGACGGATCTAGCAGCTCTTAGTACTCTAGGAGTCTGGGTGCAAGCAAGGGGACTTTGCTTCAAAACTGCCTGGCCAATTCCAGAACAATCACCCAAGCATCACCAAATCATGTTTAGAGTTTAGACACACTGCCAACATGAAGCTTTTTGTGGACATGGATGGAAGATACATGAAAGATGATGGAAGGCTTCCAGCGCAGCCCCCCCCCTTTGTGGGACAGGATGAATAAATATAGGTATAGATCTCACAGGCGTTCCAACCTCACTGGAAGCTTTGGGAAAGACAGATCGGGGGGGCCCCGAACCCAAAACAGACACCCGAATGCTTTGGAGGGAACAGCGAACAGCTTTGAGCATCGCTGGGAGCTTGGCTTTTTGCAAAAAAGGGGCTTAATGTTGTGGGACTTTCACCACATGGCACGGTTAGAAAGTGTGGAAGTTACGGTCAGAAAGTCAGCAAAATAGAACGGCTCGTTGTTGCCCTTGTCACGAGCTTCATATACACACGTACCGTCACGTACCTACTTGTTGTCGGGAATCCATAACGCCCAAAAGAGCTGAGGACGCAGTGGGTCGTTTGATCAAAGAGCCGGATCATGTGGTTGGAGGTTGGTTGAACTTGTTGGTTGTTTCTTGGAGTATGCTGGGGTGTTGTTTCGCTTTGAGGTAGATGAAAAAAGCATTAAAATAACAACACTCAGACAAGGAAGGGAAGGTTGCCCCACTCACTTGGAACAGAACTTTGCAACAGAACCAGTGCCGTCGCCGTGGCCTGAGGCTGAAGTGGCCTCCTGTGCTAGTGCCGTGGCTGGCAGATCGAAGATCGGAGGCTTCCAATTGCTGTAATTTGGCCTCCAGTGCTGGGAGCGATGGTGTCCTACCGGTAGGAACTGCTGTCATCGGCGTCTTCGCGGTAGGAACTGCCTGACGTTTGGAATTGGGATTCGTCATGATTCGTTTGAAGGGTCTGGAGTTGGAGGTCGTAGCTTGCACGTTCAGATCAGCTGCCTATGTTGGTCATGTTCACACGGTAGATGCTCAAGGGGTCAAAAGCTTGGTCGACACGTTGAGGACACTAGAAGTTACTGCACATGCTGGTGCTGTTGTTTGAAGACCTTCCTGGGCAACTCATCAACCCCGTGCAAGTGCATGTTCCTGTACATTCCAGTGGTTTTGAGAGCCCATCTTGATCTGCAGGAGGGTAATCAACCCTTCCAAATAGCCCATTTCCTTGGCGCAACAACTTCTCTGCATCCTCCGCAGCTGCTTCACGAGTTGCACCTTTTGTTCAATTCAAGTCAGTACAGCAAGAACTACAAATAACAAATATTGCTCTTCGATCTTCAACGCTGAATTGAATGTGACAGATCCTGGAGGCAAACCCATGACAAAGATTCCGATCCACTTGGGCTGGCGGCTGGGGGAAGAAGATTGGAACCCCGAAAAAGCTGCAGATCTGCATCCATCCGAGTCAATCCGAGTTAGAGGGGTTGGCTTCTTGGTAACCGTACTGCTGCTCGTGAGCTCACGTGGCCTTCTACGCGTGCGCTGGGTACTGCCATGGGTGGTTGCTTGAGCGGTTGGTGTGACGTCGGGGCACCTGCTGCGGTCTGACGTCGAGCCAAGGACGGCGGCCGATCGACGATCCTCAAGTCTGGGGTGTGTTTCACCAGCGAAAAAAAACCATGATTGGAGGCTCCGAAAGAACGCGTGAGAAAGACATGTTGGATCAAGATTCTGTTCAGAGAAGTGATGGTGGCTTGATGTTTGAAATGCATTGCATGTTATTGGCTTCCAGATGACTTCATGGTCATCCATCCATCATCATCATCATCATCAGCAGCAGCGGCGGCGGTGGCGGCAGCGGCAGCGGCAGCAGCATTAGCATCATACGGACGACTCAAATGTCAAACGGACACTCAAGCAAGAACGTGTGTAAAGACATACGTGACTATTGGATATTGAATATGTAGCATGCATGTATCATGTATCACAATATCGCATATGTCCTGTTAGCTGTTCACGGCAAAAACGATGTCAAGAACACAGCATAGCTCTTGTCAGGACCATCACTTCTCACTTAAATACCTCTCAATTCACTTCTCTCCGCACGGCAGGAGCTACTCCGGGACCCCACCGCGGTGCGCGGGAAGGACCTGGAGCTGAGCTTCGAGGTGGCGGAGGTGACCATGATCCGCGATGAGGCGAATGAGCAAAGACCACCCGCACTGGGCTCCAGGTAGAGATGATTCACATGGCCTTCAAGGCTCCAAGAACTGCGCATGCCGCATACCAGCTTCCAGTGGATGCACTTGCTCCAACATGGGAGTGTGATGAAGGGAACATGCCTAGTGAGATCAGCGCAAGGAAGGTGGTCTGTGAGGACGGTCGTTGGGAGCATATAAAAGAAGTCTTCCTCCGATGTCAAATAAGAGAAGCCTCCGAGGGGGGAAGGTGGAAAGGCGAACTCTTTCGAAGGAGCATGGTCAGGCCAAGCCCACGGCCAGGGACCTTCGCAAGATTGATCCTTTGCAAAAGATCAATGGTCAGATGGCAATAAGAGGTAACAAGAGTCTTCGAGGCGTTTGATGTGAAGAAGAAGTTCACGGTGGAAGTAGGTGATTGGCAGACGTATGACGCTGAGAAGAGAGGATCTTCACAGCTGAAAAGGTGTTTGGCTGATCCATCTACTATGAAGGCACCACCAGTGTGGCGTCCCAGCTGGGCTGTCGGAGCTTCTTGTTGTCCCCATGATCGATTTTCATTGATGGCTTGAGTGGGAGAATCTCACCGTGGCCATCTTCTCACGGTGGCCATCGGGGCTTCTGTTTGACCCGGCCAAGGATCTCTTGGGCCGGGAAAGTGTGGCTGCCGCGCTCAAAAAACGACGAGACAGGGTTTGTGTAAGCTATAGGAAGCTCCTCCGGATCTCTTAGGAATCAACCTAAGACAAGGTATCCTAAGATTCAGATGACAAAACCCATTCTTACTCCATCGCATTCCCTACTTGGATCGCCACCGGTGGCAGCACACAGGCCGTCCTCATCCCACGTCTATCCCACTTCCACCAAGCTCGATCCACGATGTGGCCTGCATGACACCTCCGTGAGGTGCTGCCATTGAAGAGAAGGGCGCCTTCTCTCTTTGTGTGCCGGGTGGCTTTGGGAAAGCCGATGGCCAGGACCCGAAATGAAAATGATCCGCAAACATGGAAGCTGCCGAGGCGGTTCCAGGAAGAGAGGTTTGGGATAGATTTAATATAGTGGTGCTCTATCTGAATTATTTGTTCTTTTACTGGTATGTTATTGTGGTTTTGTGTTTCTCCTTTGTGGACAGGTTGAGTGGATATGATTTTTTGAGTCATACTGACTGTCATACTGCCAATATCTGCCAATTGTTGATGTCCTTTCAGATTTTGTGTGTTTCTTTGCTCATTTCAACTTCTGATGCCATGGCTTAGTCATGATAGTCATGTTTGGTCCTCTACTTTCTTGGGAGTGAACCTATCAGACAATACTGTACATGAGCATACCTTTTCGTTGGTACTTGTTTGCTTCAAATGACCCATCAGACAATCAACCTTTTTAACTCTCCCCACACACATACACACGAAGAGGGCAGATGCATGCAGATGCTCACGCTCCCGGCCCTGGCCGTAAGCCCTTTCTGCTCGACTCCCATCGGTCCCAGGAGCCGGTGAGCGCACGCTTGGTGGGGCAGTCCTTGCAGATGCTCGTGGGCGAGGACGTGGACTTCTCGAAGTGGCACGTCTTCTTCACCGGAGAGCGGTTGGATGGTCAGGACTTGGGTGAAACGGTGGGGAGGGGGACTGGTTGCGTGGTGGGTTGAGCGGTGTTCTTTTTGTTACTGTCTTTTCGCTGGATCGGAGGTGGGGGTGGTTGGGGCGGCCGTGGGTCTTGGTGGAAAGCAGAGAAGAGTGAGATTCGAGAGGCCAAAACGGAGCGGCAGGAGTGCACCTCCAGATGTTGAATTGGAGAGAATGCCAGTTGGTCAAAGCTCTGCAGAAGATCAGAAGATCAACCGCTTTTTCTTCCTACCGCTGCGGAGAGTAGACCACAACTTCTAGCAGTTGGGGGGGATGCTCTCTTGCATGTCGGACATGTTGGGTCAGTTGGTTTGCAGATTGTTTCTTGAATTTCAAGAATTCAAGAAAGGGCTGAGAGTTTGACGTGGGTGAGCACACCCTAGCCAGTAAAATATCAGGCTGTCCCATACATAGGAATTCAGGGCGATGGCTCTTACACAGTGCCGTTGACCATGAGTGGTCAATAGTCACCCTTCTCGACACCAGCAATAGATAATATACTGTATAAAATCTTCGCCCCCCGTCCATCGCTGCATGTTTTGCCGAACTCGTGGTCAGAGTTCCCCGATGAGAGCGATGGCCGAGGAGTCCTTCCTTTTGGCCAAAGAGCTTTGGATCGACGCCTGTGGGATCCCTGCTGATCAGGCCAGCGGTCCTTCTGCTGAGGTGAGAGGACGTCATCTGCAGAAATTCTGCAACGAAGAACCGTGTTGCCCGTCCGTGTGACAGTGCAGAGATGCGAAGCTTCGCAGGGAGTTCACTGAAGTGAATGGAACAAAAAACGGCTCCCAAAAACACCTAGATCACCTCGCCAGCTGGTGAATGGAGAGGGGAAGATCGAAGATCCTCAAAGCTGTTTTTGGGTGCATGGCTCGCTGTGTGAGGAGCAGACTGACACCCAGTGGGTCACTTGATCTCCTCAGTTTTGATGGTCACGTTGACAGGCCTGTTTGACAGGTCCGGATGGGACTCCACAAAGGCCACAGGACTGCAGACTTCATATAGTTGATAGAAGCACCAACGGGTCATTGAGCAGTGCTTTGCAGACTTTGGTCACATACTTCGCACCCACCAGCATGAACGAAGGAAGATTGATGACTCTGAGTTGGCCGGAAAAATGCTCGATGCATTCCATCCTTTTTCCGCCTTGAGGTATTCCTTGTTCGTCCTCCCGCACTGAGAACCCAACCCAAAACCCACGTTTGCCACGCCGAAAACTCGATTGGCAGGTTCACCCAGTGCCTCAGATCCCTTCGGCCGAGGGCGCTGCGGCGCAGTACACGGTGGCACCCGTGGGGACTGGGAGACGTGGGGCCATGAGACGTGGGGGCGTCCTGTTGAACATGGACTGGACAAACGAAGAGGGATCGCCCACAGCTCAGATTGTTCTGGCTCGGGGTGGAGACGCCTCCATCCTTTGCATGTGAAGAGGGATCGGAAGATTTGAGATGAGGACGTCCTGTAGAAGCGGTGTGTTGTCATGTTTTGCTGGTCCGTGTTTTTTTGAAGGCAACCACTGAAGAGTACATGTGCTTCAGACACCGTTCCGTGTGGTTCAGCTGAACGCCTAAGCGTGGTATGATCACATGATGCGGTTCGAGAGACACTCAGACCCGGTGCAGGCGGAGATTTGTATGCAGCAGGGGCGCTCAGATTCTTCAAGATAAAGGACATGAAAGGACAACCGTTTCAGTTTCATGGGCAAACCTGCTAGATTGTTGGCACAAATCTGGTTGGTTGATTGATGATTGAAGGCAGAAGGAGAGACAATTCCCCCCTGGCTCCGAGGCTCCACGAATAGACATGTGACATGTTGTATTGAGAGACGAGGGTTGGGGACGAGATACAGTGGGCCATCAGAGGTTCAATGGCACCCCAAGTTTTGGTGGTTTATATGGAGCCCGCTGCAGAGGAAATTAGATGAATGTCTCCCCACCGCTTCAGTGTCTACGAAGCGACGCGTGCTCCCCTGCGCGCTGAGGGAGGAGACGGTCTTGGTGGACAGCGAGGAGGCCATTGAAGTGTGAGATGGAACAAACAAACATGGCAACCAAGTCACGAACTCAAAAACGAAGCTGCCACCTGCCACAGAGGGTGTTTTTAATCTTTCAAGTCATATAAGTCATGGAGTCATGCATCTCTATATATATATATAATTGGGGTCTAGAGTCTAGATGGGTCTAGTTTTGTAATGTGTTTTTGCTCGCTGATGGTGGCACCTGGAAGGGTCAGCCTTTCGGTGCAGGAAAATCCCGTGCAGGAAAACCCAGCACCGCCACCGCGACCCACTCCCAACCAGCGCCCGGCTGCCCCGTGCTCTCCGGTGTCCAGGGCTTGCCGGCGTTGGACCTGTTGCTCCTGCATGTGGGCCCCGACGGCACTGTGGGACGTTTGAAGCCCAACTCGCCTGGGAGCTCGCCCCGGTGGGACCTGGCGACAGGTTGGGGGCGACAGGTTGGTGGTTGTTGCCCTTTGTTACTAGTAGCTTCTTAGTTACTAGTCGTCGATGAATTTGGGGGTGCGCTTGGGTCGGTTTTGGGTAGCTTGGAGGCTTGACAGGAGTTGGGTGGGTTGGGAAGGTGCTTTGGACCCAAGCAGAGACTGCTTGGAGTAGGTCAAAACCATGTCAATATCTGGCCCTCAGGTACCTGACCAAATGGAGTGGTTGGGTACTTCGCACAAAACGAACGAGGCAAACCCACGAAGTTGGTCATCGTGTCGCTCGAAAGATGTCAAGCAGCGATGTCACTCGGACCCACAGAAAGAAAAAGCATAGTGAAGCCTTGTAGCGATGAAGAAAGGCTCGGAAGAGAAAAATGTGGTTGTCCTGGTGGACGAAAAACGCCCATCGAACTTCCATGAAGCCGTCTTCAAGCGAGGTCTGAAATTGATGAAGCAGGCACTGGCAAGGCGAATGTGTGAGTCTTTGATGTGTTTTTGTTGCTGATCCAGACATAGCATGTAACTTGGACATCGGCTTGGGTTAGGCAATGAAGGAGAATCCAGTTCATGTTGGGAGACGTTCATGGTACGGTGTTTGGCGCCAGTTTTTCACACATGATTGATTTCGGGGCTCGTGATCGTGATGTTATCCCAATTGGTCTGTGTGTCCGGACTTTGAGCCAGAGCTGTCACACTGTGCGAGCCGGTTCCACACTTGGAGCTGTTCCAAGAAGACTTTCATGCACAGCTTGGATGGTTTCTGTGTTTAAAGTTCAATACTCTGTGTCTTTCTGTCAGCTATGAACTGTCACAGGTCTAAGGTCGTATCTAAGAAGGATCATGTATAATCTACCCAAGTTCAAGCTCAATGGAGGAGCTGCTGGTCCTGTTGACCCTCTGGCAGGTGGTTTTGCCCATTGAAGAAGCAGGTGCCGAGGCGATCTGCGGTGCTGGTCAGCGCGGTTTGAGCGGGTTTGGAGCCTTAGGAGGTGGAGGTTGAGGATTGTGTGGAGTCAGAAGGCCTTTTCCACAAGCTGTTCACTCATAGTGGGTGCTCCAGATACTAGTTTTAGTCCAAGTTACAGTGTTTTTGGAGTCGTCTTTGGCTATAGGATGCTATAGGTGAGCTGTTGAGTGGATCTAATTGAGTAAGCAAGGCTAAGCAAGGGGTAATTTTGTGACTTCTGCTTGAAACGAACAACCTGCACACATCTGCAGGTTGCCTTCTTTTCAAGGTGGTTTTTCAGGGAGAACGGGAGATTTGTTTGGAAACCTCGCGGAGCATCCAACGTCATATCCCATGCAGCTCCTGTACACTTGCGTTGTAAATCCGCTCGACTCCACGAGATTTTGTTTGCTGGTGTTCAAGAAGCATCAAATGTTGCGCATGTGTGAACCCCCCAACAAAAAGGTGAACATTGGAATACCTTTCAGGGGTGTTCAATATATATAGGGTTCTCACCACAGCCATCTCACACAAGCGACCATATTTCCTGGTGTGGCCAGCAAGGACGGCCTATGCACACGCTCCGCAGCCGCAGGCAGCCATCGTGGGGCCAGATTTTATGAATGCGGCACGGTCTGCGGTGGGTTTCCTCAGTGTGGGCCCAGGCAGAACCTCACGATCTTCAAAGTTGAGGCTCCAGGGCTCCAGGGCTCCAAGAAAGACCCACCAAAAAGAGAGACCTATATCAATGGACCCTTGGGTGACCGACCCTCCGCTATGCTCTTCATCTCCAGTGAAATCCCTCAGGTCGCTACTAGGGTGGAGGCCATCGCTACTAGGGTGGAGGCCATCCAACCGGCCCACCTGAAGCAGCCCTGTTCCCCGTACTCCCATGCCTTGCCGACGTTCGCACCCAGGTGCTGCTGGCCACGGGCAGCCACAGCGCCCAAGCGGTGCAAGCTGCGTTGAAGAAGCCCAGGCGACACGGGAACTCGCCAGTGGGGGGCGATGTGTCGCGTGTGTTGCGAGATTAGAGAGACTCTGGAAAATAGACCCAGTCTACCCAGCCCGGGCCGGTCTCCCTATTAGAATACACACCCGTATGTCGTGTTCGACGCGTTCGTTCTTGGATTGATGAAGAGTAGCCCAGTAGCGAACATTGCTCCTAGTAGCGATGCCAGGAGCCCCTAGTAGCTTCTTGTTCCGGCAAAATACTGAGGGTCAGCATTCTTGGAAGCATTGAAGCATCACTGATTTGGCGATCAACATCATGGCCCACATAGGGTCAGTCGGAACAAGGGGCTTCCAGTGGGAATTCTTGTGCCACATCTGTTTGGTAAACACTCAGACAGAGTCAAACATGCTGGATCGCTTGGGCAACACATCTTGTCCATTTTTTGTCAATCACCCAAGATCCTTTCATCTTGGCAGTGCCATGCAGTGCCTGATCTTGCTTTTCTTTTCACTTTGCTTCCCAGTCCCACACATGAACCCGTCCAGCAACAGTCTAGACGTTCGTGCTTGCTTTGTCCTGCAGTGCCTCGTGCCCCGCGAGCTTGCTGCGGACGCAGCAGATGTCGGGCGCCCAGACGGCGTTTCTCGATGCGGATCTCCGGCCGGGGAGAAAACGACCCCGCCGTCGTCGGTGTGTGTCTTCGGTCGGGTGGAAAGGGTGGCCGGTTGGCCAGTCATATACAGCCTCAAGGTCTTTCATTCATAAAAGGAGCTATAATCCTTAGGATTCAAGCACCGCCATGGTTTTGTTTCCAAACATCGTAAGGTTTTGAATGGTTTTGACTTCCGAGTTGAGATGCCCAGTGCCATATCGCTTCCTGTGAGGAGTGCCTTCCGGTCTTTCTTCGTTTCGTTGAAAGAGAAGTTGAGGAGGTTCCCATTGATTTCCCATTGCAAGAAGCAGTCGATCGTGAGGCAAAACATCATTCAATACTGAATCCATTCCGCAAAAAAAATGATGAACGTTCCTGAACCAACCAATGGGCCTGTGTTCTTTGAACATAAACCTGGCCTGGAACTAGTCATGGTCTTCTACATATAGCCTGGGCCCGTGGGCCACTCCGCATATGAATCTTCACATACGGCCTGGGCTGGTTTCGGGGATGAAAGTAGGGGGTGTTTGGATTGCCCGTCCTTTGAGTCGTGTCCCGTCTCTTCCGGACGTGCTGCCCCAGAGTCTTCCCGCCCTCAGGACATGGATGTTGGACTCTGACTGCGCGACATTGATCTGAGGGGTTGGGTCATAGGCCATGGCCCGCCAGTGCCTGTGTTGTACCCTTTCCTGGTCTTTCGTGTGGTGGAGAATGGGATTGGAGACAACCATTTCTTTCAAGCCGTGAGGCCGCGCGGTGTCGCTGTGGATCAGTGCCACAAGACACACAAACAAGCAAAGGCAAGGACTCCATTTGAGGCAAGGACTTCGAAAATAGATCATTGAGGCCAAAAGCGCGAACGCGAGCTCCATCGGGCCAGGAGAATCAGGAGACCAGAGCCTCAAAAAAAGAGGGCCACGCCTTAAATGGGGAACCTTTTTTTCATCAGCTGTGCTGGAATCCGCGAAGAGAATTCGAAGAATGAGGAAGACCTTTGAGAAGACTTGCAAACTCTTTGGTTGTTTGGCTACTCTCCATGCCTAATAATATCATATAATATCCCATAATTAATTGTTTATTACATAGTTCACAAGACGTTATTTTTTTGATGTTTCTTTTCACATGTCTCATGAGGAATCTCATGTTGTTTGTTCCGAACCTAGACTCCCCAGGGTGTCCGTCCATGTCGACCCTGCCCGTCTTCACCGCAGGTCTTTCAGCCTCAGGCCCCACCGTCTCGCCATGGGCGTGCGACATCTCCATGTGGCGCTAGTCGTCGTACTGGCGCTTCCCGTCCCAGGCGCGTGGGCGCACGCCCTTGCGGGCGTGGTTGGCGACCTGAGGTCGATTGGTAGATTGGTAGATTGGTAGATCGATGACTTTGAAGATGGGTAGTTGATGCCGAATAGATCAGATGCTGGTGACGGTCAAAGGTGCTTTCACATGCTTTGAACCATGCCTGACAAATGCTCACTTCATCCGCTTGGGCGCTTTCCAGTTTCTCGGGAACATTAAGAAGATGTTGGTTTCTTGTCCAATGCACTTGTCATTCAAAGGTTTGTTCCTCAGTCTCCAAAACGCAGTATAGGAAACATCAAAAACATCAGGCACTCGTGGTTGGCTTTCATGGAAGCCACGCTGAGCGGGCACCTGGAGGGCATTGAGTGGTGTGCTGAAAATGTCGGACGGATTTGTTTCCAGGTGTGGAAATCGTGATCGATGCCAGTGGAGAGCAGATGGGGAGCACCCACATGCTGCGCCAGAGACTTATGAGGGTATACGGGGGATTATGAGGGTATGGTTTAAATATCCAGGGCTTAGGTTTGGTAGGTTTCTGTCGCAGTTTGTCAATCCTTTGATGCGAATCTTTGGGACAAGATGTTGCAGACATTGCGGACATTGTGTGAAGGTGGTCCCAGCCTGGTAGGGACTCGGGGATGGTGTGGTCATGGAATGTCATGGATGCGTTGTAAAAGTGGGCTAAGAAAAACGCCTTGAACTCACTGAAATCGAATGACTTGGGTCAAGATACGAATTACAAGGTACATCTTCCAAAAGACTCCCAAAGCATGAGAGGTTGACATCCCTCGTCATTGGACACCAAGCCATGGGCCTCGTCATGGTGCCTCCCCAAACAAAAAGCCGGGTGCCTTGTGATGTTCAGTGGCCATTTGCCCCGGTGGCACGTCGCATCACGCGATTCGCAGCGATTGAGCCCCGCGGGTGGCTCAAACGCCCAGCGGCTCGTTTGAGCGGCTCAAACGCCCCGCTGCTGAAACGCAAAGGTCGAGAGGAGGCCTATGTGACCTATTCAACGACGCCTCATCCATGCACGGACAAGACCTTGTGTTCGGGATGTGAAGGAGCATATTCCGGTTTCATGTGAAAGCGAGAGTTTCGGAGAGAGAGAGAGAGAGAGTTTTGGGTGGGTCGTAGGTGAAGCGGATGCTTTTGCTACTTGGAGGAATTTTTGACTTGGACACTTTGGTGAAGACCTACTGGTTCCATGGGGGGTTGATTGAAAGACAGATAGCTTCAGAGGAAAGAAGAAGTGCAATCTTCAATGACAGACTTCTCGGAGGCTTCTTATGGAGATATCATCATATATCATCCATTTGCTAGTTTTGCTCTTACCGGACCAGCTCCAAGCTTTGACCAGCTCCATTTGTTGTGGCAGATCTGGTCGCCCGTCCTTTCGCCCATGCTGTCCGAAACGTCGCCCTTGTGTGAGGACTTGGGCGGTCGACGTGCGAGCACCTGGGCGGAAAGGTTGGTTGGAGTGGCTTCTTTGGACACGAGTTGCAACATATCGGAAGATTGTCGAAGATAGTAAAAAGATCTAAAAAGAAAGTTCTGCCATTCCACATTTGGGTCGTCAGTGACACAGGGCTTTGTGGACACATGTGGACACCATCGCGCGTTTAGGAGTGCCTGTTGGAAGGATGAGGATGAAGACAGGAACCGACAATGCGTTTGGACCACACTGTGGCTTGGCTGAATTGCTTGTAGCGGATGTTGCAGGGTTCCTCAATAAATATTCCTAACCCCAAAGTCGCAGGGCAGTACCACTTTGTTTCACACACGTTCTTTGTTTGTATTGTGAGACCCTGATTATGGGATGAATCGGAGCAGTTTCAAGGATGCAAAAAAAAAGAGTCCGTCTTCTCCAAAAGCAGAACATTCCTGTCACCGTCTACGGTCTGCAGACTGTTTGGTTCCGAATCAAGTGTTGGATACGGTGGAGAGCGATGGCCTGCAGTCATGATCGATCCTGCCCTCCTTCCCTCTCAGCTCCAGATCCACCCCATGACCCACTGAAATGATGCCAACGTATGCCAATGTATGCACTGAAAGAGGAACTGAAGGCTTATCACCACAGGATTCCTCCTACACAATTATCTGAATTTGCGATAATCATGTGACAGAAAGCTGCTACTTGCACCCAATCCAAGGTGGAATTGTACCCACAAGGCAGGAGGAGCTTGGTGCTAACTCATTCGGCATCAAAAGTCCAAATATATTCAGGTTTGAGCGACTTAAATTTCACAAACGTCGGAACTTTGGGACAAAAAGGTTTTGGAACATTTTGGAACTAGAAGGGTGATTTCACAAGGAAATTATTGGAAAGGGTCCAAACAACGAGCCAAAACGATGTGAGAAATGATTCAAAACAAAACCATCGTAACCAACATAGGAGGTTTGCCTTTTTCATCACCGTCATTACAAATAGATATATATATATATATGCTACCCCCCCCCCCATGTACCCCCGTTTTGCTTCAAGTGCATATGTATTGCGTAGGATGCACCAGATGACAGCAGACGATACACTTACAGTTGCATGCTAAAGCTTACCAGATGACAGCAGACGATATACTTACAGTTGCATGCTAAAGCTTGCGACTTGTTACTTGAGAAGCCTTCTGAGAAGCAGACGCAAGAGAAGTCCTATTTGTTACTTTACAAGCAGACACAGCCAGCACAGACTTTTTCAATCCCTGATCGAAGGTGCTTCACTCAACTGGCTTGACAGACTTTTGTGTCAACCATGCGCAGAGGTCACCGGAAGCCACCCACAGATCCTTATTCCGATTCCAGTACTCATACTGGATGGACCGGATCTGCTCCCGGAGCCTTGCTGAGCCTGCCTTGGAATGTTGGTTTAAATCCAGGCGAGACTTAAAGAACCGCCAAACACGATCAATGATTTGGGTGCCTGCCTTCACCTTGATGACTTTCCCTGAATCTGGAGTGGATGACCTTCGGGCCCCTTGCATTCAGTGAAGAGAGGGTGCAAGTAATGTGGATTCAACCAAGCTTTGCAGCGCCAGTAGTTGCACTTGTGCTTCAAGCTTCCATTCCGTGGCCCAGGCTTCAGCTTCGAGAGGGTCCCGTGCTCGCACTTGGGACATTGCTTACCTTCCCATGAGACCAATATCTTGTTTGCTACAAGTTTCTCAACAATGCCCTTGTCATCAGCGCGCACGAGGTCCAAGAGACTGCGCTTCCATTTGGATTGGTCCATGCGAAGGCCACGGGGCTGCACGGCACTCTTGTCCCTCGTGTAGGGCACCTGGCTCCAAGCTTTGCTTTTGGTTAATGCCGGCCTCTTCTGCACCATGCGAGTCTTACCTTTTTTTGGCACGGGAAAAGGGTTGAATTTCGCCATCAAGGGATGCAAGAGGAGGTATGGGAGCTTCTGAACTGATCTGTTGAAACGGCTCGTGAATACACAGGAATGCAACCTGCAGTGAACGTTTGTGAATGTGAAGCAATGAAAAAATAGCAACACACAAAGTTTCGACACAGTTACCTTTTTTTTGACACGCTCGTGTGCATTGGATCTTTTCCCAATGCTGACAAAAACGGACACCTCTCAGTCCTTAAGGCCTAGATCTGCTGCAGCTTCTTCGTCTGCAGCAAAATCTTCATCTTCAGGGAGCGCTGCGGCAGGCTGGGGGCCGTGGACCACTTGCTCTTCAGACTGGACTCCTTCTTGCGAGGCTTTCTTGCGAAAGCGTTTCTGGGGAGATGGATATTTGAAGGTTGGGCGGCGCCGAGGGGCATTTGCCGGCCGTGGAACTGGTACTGGTATGAGAGGTGCAGCAACCGCCTCCTCAGGGGAACTGGGTGAATTTTCAGGCGCAGTCCACATTTCCGGAAAGCGCCTGTTGCGGAGCAAGGCCTCTTCCACTGCATCTCTAGCATGCTTGACATATTCAGCTGGCTGCACACATTGTAGATATTTGGTCATGCTTGCCTCAATCATGTCTTGCTCTTCCGACACCTTTTCATCAAAATCAGGTGCCTTGGTGCTGAAGCCGCTCTTGTAGTTCCCGTAGAACTCTTTGTCCATTTCTGCGAGCAAGTCCTTGTGCAAGTCGTCCACGTTGATCCGGTAGATCGGCTCATCGGCACTTTGACTGGGGAGCCGCAGGTACAGCGCATGCAAGCCGAAAATAAAGACAACTGTCCTTTTGAGAACCGCCATGACATCCGCAGGTTTGTCTCCGGGGAATGTTCGTTTGAGGAGGCCCAGGAACTCGGCGTTGTCAATGGAGATGCGGTTGTCTGGCTCTGGCTCATCTTCCTTTTGCACATCATTTGTTGCATAGACTCGGCAACAATTCTTGGCCAAT